CCTCTGCTGCGTTCTGTATGTCAAAGCGTAGATCAGAAGACAGAGAGCCCCCTGGGAACATTTTGTTTCTGCTCTGGTCTAGGACATAATACTGGCAGACAGCTTGATCATTTAACGTTGCTCTATTTCAAGCAAAATGTCCTTGCATGATTTATTCTCAATGACACTAACCGACTGCAAGGATCTTTGGAGTTAACATCTCTCATTCGGTCCTACCTCCCCCAAACATTCCCTAAGTGACTGTCTTTCATGGTCACCTGAGAGTTTGCTGAAGTACTAACAATCTCTTCTCTTAGCCAAAAGGAAAACTGGGGCCTTTTCTCTCAAAATATATGCAAGGAAAGCATCAGTGTCAGCAGCTGCTAGCTCCAGCACTGACTGGTGCCAGCTTGATAAGCACTTGGTCCCACCTGGAAAGACTTGAGAGGTCTTTGCTATTCTGCTTGCCACAGCTGATCACCTCCCAGGGGGAGTGTTCAGAGGTATGTGGCTGGTCTGGGTGATCAGAGGCAGATGAGAGGATGAGAGTGGATGCCGATCATGTCATTGAAACAAATGACTTCCACACCTGCCAAATGGGTGCCAGAATAGCTGGTAAGCACACATGCCAGTGAATATGCTAGCTGAAACAGGTAGATTAGCAAGTATGGAACTGCCCTCTTGGTCAAGGGCCTAGGTCTGGGGAAGGTGGTTGTCAAGGGCAGGATGGAGCTGGGAAGAGTACTGGGCTTGCTTTACATGCTCTCAGCCTCTGAGCAACCTCTCTGAGTTCTTTACTGTAGGCTAACATTCAAGGCATTCAGTAACCAGTATGACGTAGGCACTATCAGTTCAGAATGAACAAGGGCTTTATTGCTGTGGATCTTAGCTATGCCTGGCCTTGGTGCAATAGCTGCGGGGTAGTAGAATGATGGAGAGAATCTGGGTAAGGGTCAGGGTGTTGGAGGGGAGAAGCCTCAGGGAGCTCAGAGCATCTGTGATTCACCTATTCTACAGACCTATTTTAATGTTTTAAAAACCAGTGTGTCTGTACTCCTGCTGAATGTCATAGCCAAATGTCAGCTCTCATATTCAATAAGAGAAAACTGATTAGCTCTATTTCATGTGCTTGAGAGTCACTTAGGGAGCTTGTTTAAAAACAGATATCTAGTTCCCACCTCAAATTTGCTGAATAAGACTCTCTAGAGCCCAGGTTAGGCTCACCACACTTGGGAGACCTGAGTGTTCTGTATCAGCTGATTCAAGGATTCAGCTCTACCTTTTGAAGGGTTTCTGATGACCTGAGAGGGTATCCTGCATATAGTTTCTTTGGCAAATTATCCCTAATTCAGGTGCAGGTTGTGTGAGTGTGTGAAGCAGGTATATAGGGCTGTGGCAAATTAACGAGTGCATGTCCATTTGTTGAAGTCACCTTGACCCCTGGACTGCTGCTGCTCAGGAAAGCAGAGTTCCTATGGACAGACCCTCTGACTTTTCAGGATGTAGGAAGTGATTGGGCTGGGAATTGGGTCAGTCCTGCACCTCATCAAGTCACAGGTGGGGCCCTGCTTCCAAGTCTTCTGTTCCATAAACCCTGTCTATGGATGACTGAAGGGAGAGGAAGTGAGGCTGGTCCTACATAGCAAGGGAAGCAGAAAAGCTTTAAGTGGGAATCTTGATGCTGCTTAATGAGACAATATGGTTCCTAGAGAATGTCCCCAGCTATTGTAATCCATTGTCACTTCTTAGCTGTCCCATTTCCACCAGTCAAATCCAATCCTCAGCACCTTTCCTAACACCATGGTTTGGGGGTCTATGTGGTAAAAGGCACCTTTTCTAAGGCATTTGGGTCTTAACTGAGGGATGCAGCTCTTACAGGCTGGAATTTTCACCTTCTGATTTGAGGTGCTGGGGTTCTATCTAGGATTTCTGGAATGTTCCACAAAGCAATGGATTCCTGTAAGTACAAGGGAACTCGGCTTCATTGCTACATTTAAACCCACTTGCCAGGGCTCTCCTGCTGCTTGGAAGACCCTGTCTCCCATTGCTTTGTCTATCTGACTTTGACTTGTCCTTCAGGACTCAGCTTAGACTGTGTTCTCAACTCTAGAACTAGGTGCTGTGGGTTTCCTTTTAGCACCACAATCCTGAGCATGTACTTGTTCTAGAATTTCCCACCTGGAGTTTCAACAGCCATTTAAAAAAAAAAAATCCAAGTCTAGAATTTGTTAGGTGTTCACTGTGTGCTGGCACTAAGTCACTATGCATTATTATCTCAGTTAATCATCACAACAGCCCAGTGAGGCTGGAACCATCAACATTCTTATTTAAGATAAGGAGGCTCCAAGATGTTAATTAAGTAGCTTGCTTAGTATCACATGGTCAGAAAGTGATAAATGAGAGCTTGAACTCAGTTCATGTGCAGCAGAGCTTGCTGGGCTTCTTTGCATTTGTCACCAAAGTTGCACCATGCAGCTTCGTAGCAGTCTAGAGTATGTCCTAAAGTCAAGGATGGCCTTTGGGTTCATACAGCGCAATCACAAGTTGGGCTTTGATGTCAGATTCCTTGCTCTGCTATACTGTCTGTGGCTAATCTGCCAGCCTGTTTCTTTGGCTCTGTAATGGAGACAGTTATGGCTGCCCTATAAGTTGTTATGGAAATTGCACAAGAGGATGAGTCTATGGTCCTCACTGCTGTCCCCACTATGTAGTCAATGTTAGAAACATGTTGGTGGAATAAATGAATTGAAGGGGCAGTGAAGTCCATTTTTATCTAGAAACAATATCCTCTTGTTCCTTTTTCAAACAGGCATAAAACTCTACAAAGAAGGTGTTTGGTGTGGGAGGCAGTGAGTGTGATGCTAGGCGTGGGTGACCTCAGTGCAAGGGAGGGTGGCAAGCCTTGAGTAGTTTACATTTCTCAAAGAGGTTATCCTGTAGGGATAGTGGACAGTGGCAAGACTCTTTTGTTTCACGTTCCATTTTCATTTTCATCATGCCTAAACAACCTGCTTGGCAGCCACAGACATTAGAAATTAACTGGATCCATTGCTACTGAGGCATAGGCTAACTATGTGGTTGGCTTGTCATGCCATATCTCTGCCACTCTGGGTGTAGCTGATAAACTCATTGAGAATGCTTTGGGATAAAGATGAGGCATAGACACTCATATTTGACAAATCATATCATGTTTCTCGTCCCTGTGACTTTATCCCATAGCTCCACCTGGATGATAAGATTCAGTTCATTGAGGCATGAAGTTGGCCATATTGATTTTGTGGCATACACATGGGTCAATATCTCACCGAAATGGTAGAGCAACATGCTACCAATGTTGGCTCTACCAGTTCCAAATATCTGACCCATGTGTAGTGTTCCTTGGCAGGAGTATGTTTCGTTTTATTCTATTAAGTTCTGAAAGAATCTATGGAATTGGAGACATAATGCTAAGTGAAATAAGCCAGTCCAATGTGCTCTCTGGTATGTGGATACTAAACCACAACAAGGAAGGGTGGGGAGGGGACAAATAGAAGTTCTTTGGATTTGACAATGGGGAATGAAGGAAAGGGAGGAGGAAGGAAGATAGGAAAGACTGTAGAATTAATTGGATATAACTTTCCTAGCCTTGTATTTGAAATATTTGAATACACAACCAGTGCAATTCCACATCATGTACACCACAATAATAGGATCCTAATTAGAGTAAGTTAAACTCCACATGTGTATAATATGCCAGAAGACACTCTACTGTCATGCTTATCTAAAAAGAGCAAATAATAAAAATAATCTATGAATAATTCTAATTTCCATGTGTGTGGGTAGGTAAAAAATACATGTTTGTAATCCTAAGAACTTCAAGAACTGTTTACAGGAAAGGTCTACTTAGACCTGCTTTTTTTTTTTTTTAATGGAACTCAGCCTTAGTAGCAAATGTCATTTTACGCATCACATTGTCCCCATTGATGGGCATTCAGTACAGGTTAATCACAACAATTAAGTTTAATGAGAATTAATGGGGTGTCTTACAGCATGGCCTTGGCTCCCTGGGTTGCCTCCTCACCCCTGTTTATAAAGCTCTGCATGGCTGGTTCCTGATCATTTCAATGCCACCTTCATGGGGTTGCCCTTGCCCCTTTCTCCATTGCAGACTGGCCTTTCTTCCCTCTCTGCCAGGAATGTCAAGGCTACCTCCTCCCTCCACATCTCTTTTATCTTCTCAGATTCATCTTTCTCTTCACTCTCATCCTTTTCTTCTTCTCTCTTCCATCCATTTTCACCTTCCCTTTTTTCCTCCTCCTTTCTCCCCCTTTCCTGTCTAATCTTCTTTGTTCAGTCCCTTTTCTAGCAGTTTCCTCTCAAAGTATCCCCTCTCCAACCTTGTATTGGCATATTGTCATTGACATAGTTGTCTTATGGGGGGAAACAACCAGTCTGCCCCAAATGAGAAGACACCAGGGAAAGCAAAAGTGCTACAAAGCAGATTATGTATCTAAACTCACCACGCCCCATTGCAGGTTGTTTTAAAGCACACCATGTTTTCTTGGGGAAGGATGAATGAATTGTCCATAATACCACACATGACCCTATCTGCAGCACCATTCTTATCACTTAACTTTGTATAGAATTACATGGGGAGAAGCAGATTGAGAAGGTTAAAATATGGTGATCTTTTGATAATTGGTAGTTAGATCCCTTTGACCTTCTCATTTGGAGCAAACTCAGGAAGCTGATTCTCTTTGGTTTTAGTGAGTTCTCAGAATGTACAAAGTATCCATCTCATACCCCTCCCAGAACTTCTTCCCTCTCAGCCAGAATTATAACTCTTTTGGAGGGAAAAACACATGGCAGCTACTAATGGCAGTGTATGGCCTGTATTAGGTGTCAGAAGCTCTTCTAACATGTTGGTAAGAGGAGAAAATGGCATTAAGGTTAAAGAAGCCATGCCAACGATCCCACCACTGCCATGCTTCTGGTTGAAGCCCCTTTTAGGACACCACAGAAATTTTACACAGAACACAAACACTGCATGCTGGAGGACAAAGTGGGTCCCTCTCCTTAGTCTGAACAGTGTGGATGGCCTTGCTGCATCAAATTGTTATTTGGAAGACCATCCAACCTGGGGCAGGAATTCCTTCTCCCACCTTCCCTCTCCTACAAATAAAATGGGCAGAACAAAGACCTGTGCTCCAGTTCCCAAAGAACAGTAGGATGCCCTCATTGGATGCAGATTGTATTTAAATGCAATTCACCTCTTTGGGGTCTAGGAAAAGCCACCGGTAGATTCATTTGCCGGGAAATGCGGTCTGTGTGGCTGAGGCAGTGGATGCTGGAGGCATGATCTTGGTGAAAGCTGACTTTCTCCGGAGGTCTGTCTGCTGTCCAGAGTGGCAGCCACTTCGATGGGCAAATAGGATGGTCATCTCTGAGCTCAAAGGGGCTGCTTCGGGCAGGGACCCCTTGAAGGTGACTGGCTGTTCAGGCTTTCCAGAGGTGGGATGGGAAGTGTAGTGTTTGGTGGGAGGAGGGCTATAATTCTGAAATCTCACGGTTTTAACTTGCTGCAAGAGAAAGGAACATGGGTGAGACACATACTATTCCCCCTTAGGACTGAGTTCATGCTATTTCTCTACACCCGTCCCCATTCAAAATTCCAAATTTGTGTGGTTTTCATTCAGCAAATATTTCTATCTACTGTGTTTACCATGCATCACGCACTGTTAGGTGCTTGGAGTCTCAGAGTGAACAAAACCACCCTGGTAAGCAGAAAGTTGTAACAACTGCTCTGATGGGAGAAGTAGAAGATGCTGAGAATTCAGAGGAATATCTAATTCCAGCTGGGATGGGGATAGTCAGGGAAGGCTTCCTAGAGAAAGCTATCAGAGAATTGAAGAACAATTAGGAAGAGTGTAGGCAATTGCAGAGAAGGGAAGTTCCCTTTCTGCCTCTCTCACATCTGCCTTCCATTAAGGTCTATCTCTAGGTTAGCTTTTCCTCCAGGCCTCTCTGATGACTACATTTAGAGCTTTCTGTAATGGCCTTGGACATCCTCAGTGCAGAGTTAGCTCCCTGGACACCTGCTGGTTGAATTTAGCCTTCAGAGTGTATGAGGGTTTGATTTACTCCCCCTCATATGAAGACTGCATATACAAATCAGGATTTCATGTCTCTTTTAAAAAATCAAAGATCTGGCACACTGGGCCTTTGCCCCATTCTGGCAACACCTGGCTGGAGCCAAGAAGCAGTTCCCTGTTGTATGAGACTTGAGTCTCAGTTTGCTCCAAGCCCCCCCTCAACCTTCCTTCCTCTCACCTCTCCTAAGCTATTATGTAATTCCTGGTAGCTACAGGTATTTGCTTTGGCCAATTCCTACTTTGGGGCTTAGTAAGTGTTCTGTGGTACTGCCTGGGAATGATGTCTTTTTTTCCAAGAAATTCAATCCTGGTGTCCCCAAATGAGAATCCATGTTTCCTCATACCTCTTGACTCTCGCCATATCTAGCTGGGGTCTGGGGACTTACTAAGCACTTATAATTTGGGTTATTGGGTAACTGGGGCTTGGAAAACTTTAAATTATGTGAAAACTGTAAGTCATAATAAAAACTCCCAATATTTATATCAGTCAACACTAACTTTTTCCAAATGCCTTTCCCTCTAGGCTTATAGGTTAGCATTAAGATCATGAATTTTTATATCAGATCTGGATTTGATTCCAGACACTCAGGTGTCAGCTGGGTGACTTTATGTCATGTTTTCTAACTCTCTGAGCCTCCATTTCCTCATTTAAAAATGAGAATAAAGTGCTAGACACGGTGGTACACGCCTGTAATACCCACTTCAGAGGGCTGTTAGGATTAAGTGAGAAGGGATGTGCGAAGTTCTCAGCATAGTGCCTGTTGGGTAGTTAATAATTAGTAAGTACTTAGAAACAGGAGGAAACTTCAGACTCTTTCCATTTTGTGGGGGAATGGGGTGAATGATGGTAAGATGGTGGTGATGGTGTTGGTAATGGTGGTGGTGATGCGTGATGGTGGTGATCTGGTGGCAATAATGATGTTAAATAAACTAGAAGATAACAATGAGCGTCACCTAGATTTCTCTGTGTCATCTCTTCCTTTCCACCACCCTTATTGTTTCAGATGTTACAAAACCCCATGTCTTCTAGTACAAAAACTCAAGTTATTAGATACAACCTTCAAACTATAAGTGTTTAGTAAGTCCCCAGACCCCAGCTAGATAAGGTGAAAGTCAAGCAGTAAGAAGAAACATGGATTCTCATTTGGGGACACCAGGATTGAATTTTATGGAAAAAAGAAATCATATTAGAAGTTAATCGATCTGACCTCTGCCACAGAGGTCACAATAACTTAGTTGTTGGAGTTATCGTCTATTACCTCTTTGACATGATGAATAATTATGTGTCAATTATGATGTGAGGACTTCATATACCTTAACACCATTTAATTCTCTAAACCTATGTGGCCATTATCAACTGTTATCTCCATTTTGTGGATTAGGCAAAAAATAAGTAAGTAAATAAATAAATAAATAAATACTTGAAAGGTGAAGTGTTTTGGTTAAATCCACCCAGCCAGCAAGTAGCAGAGCTGGAATTTAAATCAAGTTTTGTCTGATGCCACAATCAGTTTTGTTCCAAGCCACCTCTGGGTCTCAAAAGAAATATGTACAAAATATTTGTGAAGAATAAAGGTGAATCAGTAACACATCTAGGAAGGGGAAAGTGTGAGGCTGTGGGGGTGTTGGGTGTCAGAATAGTTTTGAGGATGCAACTTTGGGTCCTTGACTACCAACACTAAGATCTCAGGAGCTGGGACAGTGTATAAAGTTGGGAGCTAGAGTCAGGTCCCCTGTGATTTTATTCCTACCTTTTCGGTGCCATTTCTTGAGTTTTCTGGTTTCACCAGGATTGATGGTGGGGCAGATGCGGGTGGTTTTGGCGGAGGCTCACTCTTGATGGGGATTTCCTTGCCTTCCATGATGACTGAACTGGCTGTCGAGTGGATCCTGGCATCGCTGCCTCTGCTGACGCAGGTGAGGGCAGGCTCCCCAGTGGGAGTTGGTGTGGGTCCCATCTCCACCACCACCGTTGATGGGGAGGACGGGATCCCCTGAGACTGGTAGAACTGGAACTGCTGAGGCTGTACCACCATGGTGGGATTGCGTCTGAGGGAACCCACCATGAAGGAGGGGATCCCTGACTGCACCGATCTCTGCAGGGATCCATCTAGGGGATTATATGACAGAGATATCAGCAACAGCGGTGGCTGACAGCAGGTTGGGTCAGGGCTGGGTAAGCAGTGTGTCCTGATATCCCAGAATAGTCAAGTGCTTTCCTAATTTGACTGAGCTCACATTCTCCTGGGGTCTTTCAAAGGTGACCTTATTCTTTTTTTAGTGCTGTTTGCTGGCAGCAAGTAACTGGCTAGCTGAATGGTGTGTGTGTGTGTGTGTGTGTGTGTGTGTGTGTGTGTGTTGTCAGAAGGACTATTGCTTCCATTCACCTCTCTCTCTCTCGTGTGATTTGGTGTGATCTTGATATGTCTATTACACACACACACACACACACACTTATGTTCACACTCTCCTATTTTCTCCCTCTAGGCCTTAAAGACAGAGTGTGAAGAAGAGTGACACAAAGACAGCTTCACAGTGAGAAGCAGGCACACCAAAGAGGAAATGAAAAACAGAGCCAGACACAGAAAGAAAACAGCAATTGAGAAACACAAGAGACAGACAACTGAGAAGGACAAGAGGGAGGGAAAGAAGAAAAGAGAGAGAAGAGGGGACCAGAGGACTCTAATCAGCTACTTGCATCAGAAAGTTCTAGCAGAAGCTTTAGTCATGAGGTGGTGAGGATGCTTTTTGTGGGGGTATTCAGGGGTGAGTGGAAATAAGTGCATGTGCCAGACCAGACATGACTAGTCAGGGCAGAATCTTCCAGACGGAGGCAGATTCATAAATGTCATTCTGGAGTTAGGGCTGCATGTGCGGTGAGCTTTGCAAGGTCTCATGACCTAAATCTGGAGAGGAGAGTCACACCTTCTCCCTCAGTACCCTCACTGTTAACTGGAGATGATAACAGCTCATCATAGGATGTGGTGAGGATCTCATCTTATGATGGGTACCCAGTGGTAGTCAGACAGTGCCGGAATGTAAGAGTGCCCCACTCTTGTTAGCTATCATTATTTGGGGTAAAGAACCACATAACCTGAAAATTCAAAGTTCAAGAGTTTGGTTTCACCCTTTCCTGAACTCATTTTTTTTTTCTTTCTTTAACATTGAGCTAGTCCTTCGTCAGCATAAAGAAGCCATTCCTTCCCCTGAAATTCTCTAAAGACAGGAGATCCCACCTTTTCTGCACATGGCCTGTAGGTGAGCTGGAGAACCCAGGATTCATTGGGACTGTCAGGAAGACCCCCTGAGAAGCACTGTGGGACATTTCCCAAAGGGTTCCCAGTATTTGGGGGAGGCATAGGAATGTCCCAGCCAGAGCTGTTAGTCTTTCGTGAAACCCCATGGACACATGTTTGAATCAAAGTCGTTTGCATCTAGCACAGAAGGTCTGAGCCAAGGCCAAGTTCTTCTCTGTGGCTCTCTGTCAAGCCGAATGGGAACATGAAACGCAGAAGGCTCACCAAACACAGTTGGTGTTTTCAGCTGTTTGCTGCTAGCAAGCCCGCCACCATTTACACAAGTCTGACCTTTCAGTTTGAACATTTATTTTTTCACTGACAGTCCTGTGAGGTGCACATGGTCAATCTCCTGTCATTTCTCTTCACTTTGGGGAGATGGATAGCTTGACCAGCCCCACCTTGGGGAAAAGGGAGAAAAAGAAAGCCTCTGGGACTTGGGAAGTCAAAGCAACACTGGGCAGGCATGTCCTCAGGTGCCCATAAACATGTGAAAAATCGTCTTCCTGCCTATTTATCTTGTGAGCTTCTAATTTTCAAAAGATTGAGTGCTTTCTTATTGCATGTGCATATAATGCAAGCAGTCAGAGCTTCAAGCCGATCAAGATTTATGTGCAGGTGTCAGAGAGTGTATTAAATTGCAAGCCACTGAGGATGGGCCGAATTCTCTGCATTCCTCATTGGTCCAGAATGAGAGTGAACCCTTTCAACCCTAAACAAATTCATGCTCTGGATGGACTAAACTCTTTATTTGTAGCAGCAATGATATAATTTATTTACTAATAAAAGTTATTTTACTAATAAAATGATACAATTTTTGAAAAGGCAAATGTTTCTTGAGAGCTTCTATGCCAGGCACTGTACTGATGTTGTTCAGATTATTTTATTAGATCTATATAGTGATGCTGATGAGACAGGTATTATTTTTATTTCCATTTTACAAATGAGAACACTTAAGTCTGATGAGATTAGTAACTTCCCAAGGCTGTTGTGATGGAATTACTTATGTGTGTGTGTGTGTGTGTGTGTGTGTGTGTGTTGAGAGGGGAGGAAGAGGTAGGAGCAAGAGGCAAAGGCAGGAGGTACAGCTGGGTGGAATTAAGTGACCAGAGCAGTGAGCCTGGTGACCAGGGAAGTGGGAAACACAGGGACAGAACAGAGGGGAGATATTTGCTTTCTTTCTCTTGGGAAATTTCCCCACATGGCATATTATCCCACAGGTTTCTCTTCTTCCCAAACTATTCATATTATATTTTCAAGTCTAATCACTTGTTTAAATTTGTTAAACCACTTGTTAAGATTGCAAGAGGGTTTGCAGAGCCTAGTTTAAATCAGGAAATCATATTTACTGCACTTGGCTGGTTACAAATGAAGAAAACCTTGATGTTTTATAGAAGAGAGATTCAGACACTTCTCAGAATCCCTGAAAATGGGAACTTATTTAGAAGTTTAATATGTTGAGAGATAAAAGCATAGTTCTTGAAATGACAAGTCTGTATGTATTGCCATATTGAAATGTATATGTTACGTAGGTAAAAATAAAATAAAAGCAAAGTGCAGAGCAGTGTTATGAATGTGACTGATTGGTGTGTTTTTCTATCTATCTAGAAAAAACTTCAAACTGAGGGTTAAGGAGATAAGGGAAACCTGCTTTGAATACCTTTTATGCTAGAATTTTTTAACCCTGTGCATACATCACATAAATAGCAGGGACTCTGAGCACTGCTCTATTCTTGCTTCCTCTCCTGAGCTCTGGAGCACCCAAACCTTGGGGGCTTCCCTAGAGCATAGTTTGGGAAGCCCTGGCCCAGCAAAGGTTTGGTCAGCCTGTCTTAATAAGAACCAATATTCACCTTGGCTGTGTGACACTTAGGACTATCATCCCAGCCATTCACTGTGCATGCAAAAAGTGACTCAGGGCAGGGACTTCCAGTTGATCATTTGGTAAAAAACACATTAGGGAATTGCAAATTTTCATCTTAAAGCCAAGATCTTGCTTTAGTGAAAATCACCCTGTGTACCTGGGGTTGCACCCCACTGCCATCGGCTAACTCTAGGCACATACCTCTGTGCCACCACTTACTCTTTCTCATGCTGCTCCGCCCTTTCCGAAGAGACCCTTGTCCTAAATTTCCAGTTGCATTCTTCACAGGGTTGACTACAGTGGTGGGCACAAAGACGGATTTGAAGGGACGGCTTTGCTGGGGATCACCTTCTGAAATGCTGCCTTGGGAGGACACAGAGGAGGTGGATAATGTCCATGTGGCATAGAGACCAGGGTTCCGGGAATCTGGAAAACTAGAGGTCTTTCTAGTTGTTGTTAAAAAGAGAGAGAGAGAGAGAGAGAGAGAGAGAGAGAGAGAGAGAGAGGGGAAAGGGAGAAAGAAATATTCACTCAAGAGTCTTACTTTAAAAAGCCATCAACAACCAACCACATACCAAATGTGACCACTCCCCGCTTCTTCCTACTATACACATTCATACTGAGACCCTGCTGGAGCTGGAAGACTTGAATTCTGCCCGAAATAAACCAAAAAAACAGCAGGTATACTCTAGGCATGTATCTGAAAGACCCTGATAATTCAGCCTTGGGCTCTGATTTTTAAGAACAGCATTAAAGTTTTATAAAACAATTCCTTAGCCATTATTTCTAGCCTGAAGCTCGCTGAACTGCTCTGGCAGTGGCTGTCATTTCCCATGCCTTTCTTTTCCGTTTACCCAATCTAGCCACCACATCACATCTCCTCCTGAGCAGTCCATCAATCACCTTGTCACCTGTTGATAAAGTAGCCCCTGCTAATTCCCTGGAAAGAGCAAACGCAACCAAGGTCTTGGCTGCCTTTCTGTCAGTGCCTCTAGATTTCTGGTAGGCCACTTCCCCTCAATTCTCCTCCTTTATCTCTCTCTCTCTCTCTCTCTCTCTCTCACTAGAGTTTTATAGTTATAGACAATACCTGGGTTCATCCCAACAAATTCACACTGCATGGAAATTAATCTAATTTCCCTCTTGTCCTCTTCTCCCCTCTGCCATTTCCCTTCCTCTATTCTACTAGACTTTTCGCTTGTCCTTTATTTGACTCTAGCTTCTGTATATGAGAGAAACATTTAACTTTTGAGTTTCTAAGTTTGGCTAATTTCACTTAGCACCATGTTCTCCATTTCCATCCGTTTACTGGCAAATGCCATAACTTCATTCTTTTTTATGGCTTAGAAGAATTCTATTGTATATATGTACCACAGTTTCTTAATCTATTCATCTATTGGTGGGCATCTGGGCTGATTCCATAATTTAGCTAGTGTGAATTGTGCTCCTGTACACACTGAGGTGGCTGTATCACTGTAGTATGCCCATTTTAGGTCTTTTGGGAAAACACCAAGGAGTGGGATAGCTGGGTCATATAGTGATTGGTTCTATCCCTTGTTTTTTGAGGAGCCTCCATACTGCTTCCCAGAGTGGTTGTACCAGTGTGCAGTCCCACCAACTAGGTACAACTGTACCATTATCCACCACCTCGCCAGCATTTATTATTGTTCATATTCTTGATCATTGCAATTCTGACTAGAGTGAGGTGAAATCTTAGTGTAGTTTTGTTTTGCATTTCCCTAATTGCTAAAGATGCTGAAAATTTTTTCTTATATTTGTTGGCCATTTGTGTTTCTTCTTTTGAGAAGTTTCTCTTTAATTCTTTTGCCCATTTATCGATTGGGTTACTTGTGGGGTTTTGGTGTTTTTTGAGTTATTTATATATGTATATTATGGAGATTAATGCTCTGAGGTGCAGGTGGCAAAGATTTTCTCCCAAGCAGAAATTTGTTAGTTCGATGGCATCCTATTTATTCTTAATTTTATTTCTTGTACTTTGGGGCTCTTGTTAAAGAAGTTGGTGCCAACACCTATATAATGGAGTGTTGACCCTGTTACTTCTAGCAGCTGTAATATTTCTGGTCTAATTCCTAAGTCTTTGATCCATTTCAATTTGAATTTTGTGCTGGGTCAGAGATACGGGTCTACTTCTATTTTTCTATATATAGCTATCCAGTTTTCCCAGAACTATTTGTTAAAAAGGCTACCCTTTCTCCAAAATATATATCTATATATTTTCTATTAAAGAACCTTTGTCAAATATCAGGTGGCTAGGTATGTGAATTTGTCTTTGTGTCTTCTATTCTGTTCCATTGGTCTTCATGTCTATTTTGATGCTAATACCATGCTGTTTTTGTTACATTTGTGTAATTTCAGATCAAGTATTGAAATGCCTCCTGCTTTGCTTTTCTTGCTTAGAATTGCTTTGGCTATTCTGGGTCTCTTATTCTTCCAAATACATTTAAGAATTGTTTTTTTCTAATTATGTGAGGAGTGTCATTGGTATTTTGATGAGGATTTCATTGAATCTGTATATTGCTTTCGATAGTGTGGCCATGTGGACAATATTGATTCTGCCTATGCAATAACATGACATGTCTTTCCATCTTCGAAGAATTTTCTTTAATTTCTTTCTTCAGTGTTCTGTAATTTTCAATGTAGACCTCATTTATCTCCTAGGTTAGATTAATTCCCAAGGGTTTTTTTTGTTTGTTTGTTTTTGAGGTTATTGTGACTGGAATGGTTTTCCTGATTTCTTCCTTGGCTGAATCACTGTTGGAATATAGCAAAGCTACTGATTTATGGGTGTTGATCTTATATATTCCTACTTTGTTAAACACATTTATAAGCTCTAGGAATCTTCTGGTGGAGATGTTTTGGGTTATCTAGATGTAGGATGTGGTTTAATAACGAGCCAGTATCATGTAAAGATAGGCAAAGTGTCATTTAATTGTGTCCTGCACCTGCCTCAAAAGTACATGCAGCCAGATACTGTAAGAACTGATGCTAGCAGAAAGGACCTTCTATCCGCAACTGTCAGCCTGCCTGGTCCCCATGGTGGTGTGATGCATAAAGGGGAGTGAGACTGTCCACCAGTGAGAGATCAGACTATATTCTGGAGATGAGATCTGGGCAGAGGAAAGCAATCCCCAGCATGAGCTCCATGGCAGAGCACAACTGATCTGTCTTTTGAACAGAGGCTGCAAAGAGCTGGATACTGCAAAGTGGATCAGCAACAGGAAAGACAGGTTTCAAAATTATTTCCAGCAGTAGCAGGAGCAGCAAGAATGGAATACAGCTAATTAGGCCCAAGCCAGCCTTATTCCACCAGTCCCTTCTTTGAATGGCTGTTTATGGTCTGAGGTCTGAACTCTTTTTTTTTTCCTGAGCCCAGTACTGGGCCAGATTCCAGGAACTCCCAAATCCCAAGTCTCCCATGCAATACTGAGTTACTCTATGTCTCTTGGCAAAAAGCTCAACACTTACCTAGCACTTTTTCCCCCAACATCAAAGCACTTTGCTGAAATGTATTAATTAAGCCCCATGACATCCCAAACTGAAGACATTATGTCCTTATTTTCCAGAGGAGACAGAAAAGCATTTTGGACTTAAGTGGGAGGCAGTGGATGTTGCTTCTAATTTGTTCCATTGAGCATGTCCCTGTGTCCTTTTGTCTGTTTGGTATGTTGTCCTTAAGAGCTTGCCCAGTATTCAAAGGTGCCTTACAAAGAGCAGCTCTTCTGGGCTCAGCACTAGCAGCAGTTTCCTGGTAAGGAGAAAGGTTGGACTTGACCATCTTGACATAGTCTGTGCAGAGAGTTAAAGGCCAAGGAGTGGCAATCCACTAGTCAATTTTCTCCACCCATAAGGCTACTTAGGTAGGCATATGTATCTGGGAAGACTGTAAGGAAAAAAAAATATCCTGGCTAACTGGGCAGAAGAGAATTATTGGGAGGGCAGAGGGGGAGGAAAGAACTTAGTAGCAGATCTGAGGAGGGTGCAGAGGGCTCAGCAGAGGAATCTATAGGAGGAAGCCACAGATCAAATACTGCTGTTGGTGTCCTCACTGTGCTAGGTTTTCCAACTTGCCCGCATCTTCCCTCTCCTGCTCAAGTGTTAAAGTCCCAAGAGGGAGCCTAATACTGGCTCAGCTTGACCCTTAGCTGCATGCAGGGTTGAGGAGGAAAAGGAGTATTGGGTTTGTTTGGTCTCTGAAAAGAGAGGAAACATCTTCCTCCTACCAAGACGACACACGAAGAAGGCAGTTCAAAGATATATTGGTGCTATTAAGAAGGGGTTTTTGGGGGGTGCTGGGAATATAGCTCAGTTGGTAGAGTGCTTGCCTCATATGCACAAGGCCCTGGGTTAATCCCCAGCACTGCACAAAAAAAAAAAAAAAAAAAAAAAAAGAGGGGTTTGGGGGCTGGAGTTGTGGCTCAGTGGCAGAGCACTTGCCTAGCACATGTGAGGCACTGGGTTTTATCCTCAGTACCACATAAAAATAAATAAATAAAATAAACTTGCTGTCCATATACAATTATAAAAAAATAAAAAGTAAAAGAAAAAGAAGAGGTTTGGTCAGGCACCTTGGCACATATTTATAATTCCACACACACCTATAATAGGAGGCTGAGGTAGGAGGATCGTGTGTTCAAAGGCAGTCTTGGCAAATCTGTGAGAACCTGTCTTAAAATAAAATTTAAACAGGTTCAGTGGTAGAGCACCACTGGGTTAAATACTTAGTGCCAAAAAAAAAAAAAAGAAGGGGTTTGGATGTTGGACAGATGAAAAGTTTGAAAATTTGACAAATGTTCTATACAACCTGAGCTCATGGATGTCTCCAGGATCTGGGAAGAGACTTCATTGTGGCAGAGATTTAGTTGAGGTCAACAAGAACTGTGTAGGTTGGTGTCACCATTTAGTCTAGAGGGCTGGAACAGACTAGCGCAGAAGCCTTTTTGACCCTTGGTAGATAAAAGGCTCACTTGTTGAATCTTAACTCTAAACTTTGATGTTTTGGTCAGTTTTGGTCAATCCTTTTCTAAATCAATCTCCATACTTTGGCTGGCTCAGTTCATAAGAGATGATGCTAACAAGTGTAAAGTTTCCAGTGCTCAGGGTGCATCTATCTCTCCCAGCCCTGCTATTTTTACAAAAGGCTGCACTATACACCAAGAAGACTGGATGGCAGTGCAAGCCGTCACTACAAACAGAAAACAAAGACAAGGGAGGTTTTCTACCTGATGGAAAAAAGTCAAACAGAACCAAAGAACAGAAAGGAGAGGCTTGCCCGTGTGGCCCAACCCACTACATTCACCCACATCACTTACTAACAGTAGTAGAAACTCAGCTGACAAAGGACAGCATTTTTCAGTCCTGAGACATGGGAAGAATGAAACTTCCCACAGTGGAAGGCCTGGCTAAGAATATGGCTTAGCTGCACCCAGATAGACAACTTGAGCATTTGTCATTCAAATCCAAGGTCAGTGGGAATGGGAACTTTCTTTATATCAGAAAGATCATCAAAGAAAGCATGGATTCTCTGTCATCTAATAACCTTAGGAGTATATTCTCTGACAGGCACTTGTTCTTCTTGGGAATGCTGCTTCCACATAAGAAAAATCATGCCTCAACATTAGTAGCAGCTCAAGCTATGCACATGTTCAGGTTTCTCTGAGCAGGGAGGGAGGACTCAGTGGTAATCCATGGTGCCGAGATTCCATCTACTGTCTCACATACATTCACCTCAGAGGGGATGAGAACAGAAGCTCAGGGCTTGCCCAAGAGCACAACATATCATCCAGGAGAAGAGCCAAAGAGGAGAGGCAGGGAGCCTTGAGATCCATGGGAATAAAAACCTACATGCATTCTAGTTAGGGTGACCATATGTTCTGGTTTCTCCGGGAGACTTTCAGTTTATATCTGCTTATATCTGATCACCATTATTCTAATGTTCTTTGATGGCACAGCCAGGACTGGGCCTAGAGTTAAATGTAGAAGCAAATGCTCTACCTGTAGGCATGAGCCTTGGACAATTCTAGTTAGATTTCAGGGAAGCAATGGTTCTTAATTTAGAATAGGCATTTACCTTGCTCCTGTCACTTCTAAATCATTCCCCATCCTCTTCAAGACTTCCTGGCTTCGACTCGTATCATCAGACTCTACACCCACCCCTGCACCTTGTGTGGTCATTATTCATCCTCAGGATCTGTGTGTCCTCTCATTCCTTGAAGACTGTAGCTTCTGGCTCTTTGTTGGTCTCTTGATAGAACTGATGCTATGATGATGACCTCATCTAATCTTAGGGCTTTAAATACCATCTGAAGCCTGGAGCGCTCTCTTAGATGCTAGACTTGTACATTCAACTTACCAACATCTTTACTCTAATTACTAATGGGCCTTTCTGACTTAGTCTGTTGCAAACTAAGCTGTTGCTTTCCCCATAACTCAATCTCCCCATCTTACGGTTTTCATCATCACCATCAGTAAAAGGCCACTCCCTTTGATAGTTAGCCAAGGCAAAAAACTGAGACTCACCTTGACTACTCTCTTCTTTCACATCTGATGTTTGAACTCTTAGAAAATCCTGTTGCCTCTAACTTCAGGGTACTTGTAGCATCTGTCCACTTTGGACTGTATCCACTTCACAACGCCCTGGTTCTATTTACAATCATCTCTCCCCAGGATTATTACAATATCCTCCTAACCAGTTTTTCTGTTTTTACTATTTTCTCTCTAGTCTATTCTCTTACTAGTTCGAAATTCTCAGCAGAAAGAGATACTCTGGTTAAACGTAAGTTAGATTCATGTCACTCCTCTATTCAAAACTCTGTAATAGGGTTAAAATGAAGTCCCTCATTATGACCTAGGACATTCTAGATGACCTCGTCTCCTACTATTCTCCCTCTCCCTTGTTCCAATTCGATTCTATTGGCCACTCCCACCTTAGGGCCTTTGTACTTGCTGTTCCTTTGGCTTAGAATTCACTTCTCTCACAGAATCACATGGTTCACATCTTTATTTCCTTCACTCCTCCTTCTTATTTCTGAGTAAGATCATCCCTGGTCAATCTATCTAAAATTATAACCCACCTCTACACAAATTCTATCCTACTCTCCTGACTTTTCTTCTTAGCCCTTAATCCACAATATGTATTACTTATTTATCTTGTTCCCTATCTCTCTCACATTAGATCATAAGCTCCTGTGGGCAGAAATTCTACATATTTTGTTCATGGGTATTTCTACAGGGCCTAAAAAGGTGCCTGAAACATAATTGGCACTCAATAAATATTTACTGAAGTAATAATGACTGAAAGCATCAGTTACAGAACCCATTAGTTTGCCTCTTGGTAGTTTGGACTTTTTAATAAATTTCAAGAACCTTTCATTGAAAGAAACAACTAGGATCTTCTACTCCAACTTTCTGCCATGTGAAAAAAATATTTTTATGTAATCCTGGATCTGCGAGGACCTAGACTTTGCACTCTTTCTAGAAAGAGTGTTCTGTACCGTGCCAGCTAGCCTGGTGGAAAATCTATGGGTTAGAATATGCAGACTTTCTTTGAACCAAATCTTTCTCTCCAACTAACCTCCTAGTCTACTGTACTGCCCCTTCATGCAACAAATCTTCCTGGTTTACAATGTACTAAGACTCCTCTGTCCCTTGTCTTCTACAGGTTAAATGACCCAAGTGTCTTCATCAGTTTCTCCCGTGATGCAGTTTGATATTTCCTCACAATCTTTGATGCCCAACTCCAGACAAGGGCCCAACTAAGTGAAGATCTCCCAAAGTGGACATGACTCTAGATAGAACACCTCCCCCACCCAGGGTCCAATCACTTTCCCTGGAGTTGAGGCCCTCTAGTACATCATAAAGTCAGTGTTCTTCGGACTCCCTGTCTCATGGCTTTGCCTGGGCTGATGTGGGGTAGAAGAAGGAGGAGTCATGGGTAGCTCTGGGGACTATGTGCATTGTGGCCATGTGAGGTGACAGGATAAATTGGATCAATGAAATCAATAGATATGCTGTGAAGTGGAAAAAAAGAAAAGGCTGGGAAAAACTGGTAGGAAGAGCACTGTGGGGTAACTAGCATTTTTGTTGGAGTGTGGGTGGGCGAGTGGTGGTCTGAATTCATGGAACTCTACCTGATGGTCTAACATCCTAGGAACGTTCCCAAGATGCTCTGGGAAGTCATCTGCCCACATTTCCCAATTATTCCACTAGATGGAGTGTTGGGGTGTGATGTGGGACTTCTGGGACTTATGCAGAAGAAAACCTGAAATCTAGCTCTTCAATAGGCTTCTTAACTCTGCATATCAGTTCCCTCACCTGTAAAATGACAAACACAAGATCCTTGGGTATAGCCAGTGAGTTAAAAGAGGCAAAGTGCCTGTCAACTCCCCCGAGCTGTAAGACAGTTAACTGTTTTTGCTATGTGTTTCTTTGAAGAGTTAGGAGGGTACGAGGGCAAAGGCAATTTCTTGGCCTATACTCTGGAAGATAATTGAGTCTGCCTCACTGCAACCCACAGAAGGCTTCTGGTCTAGGATGAAGCAACCTCCTGATGCCTAAGATTGGAGGGCACGCACCTGAAAATGGGGATGACATAGTTGTTTGGGAAGATGCCGACTCGCCCAGTGACCAAGGAGATGCCCCTCAGCCAGCCGTCCTGGTGCTTCCCCAGGACCCTGATGCCTTCTCCCTTTTGCAGGTCCAGCTCGTCAGGTCCATGGGCTGAGTAGGAGTGTAGGGCTACAAACCTGGGAGACACAGGGGACTGGTGAGGGAAGAAGGGGACATGCTTGGTGGAGAGCATCAAGCCTGCCAATGGCAGAGGTAGTTGGAACCCCAGAATGCAGCAGCCCAATGGTTAGCAATAACAACCTTTTAAAATGGAAATTAAAAAAAAGGGGGAAACCTCATCATGTAGACAGATAAAAATGGTAAGCCTGGTTGAAACAGTCATGGAGGGGGAGGAGTACGACCTTCTCCATCTTCCTTTTCTTCCTCCATAGAGCACCACAGAACACTAATATAGGCCAACATTGGTACTAAAACAATTGGTAAACTGGCCTCAAATGGAGAAAGATGACCAAGGATTGGTAACAGAGATGAATCTCAAACCTACAAGAAATGGTCTTCCACGACAGTGGAAGAATGCTTTTTCACGACAGTGTAATGTGTCCTCCAAGAGAATGCTCATAACCAGCAAGGCTCAGGGGAGTGAGAAGTCAACACAGAACTCTCTGATCCACCCCTGTGACTGGGAGCATGGGGATGTCTGACTCCAGGAATGGCCCAAGGAGCTATCTGAATGTAGGCAGAGAAGCAAACATTGGGAAGTAGGAGGCAGAGGTTAATTTTCTCTCTTTTTTGACACACAGTGAAACATAGACTGCTTGGTGAGATGGAGGACAGGGTGTTGCAATGGGCAAAAATGGCCTCTGGCTAAAGCAGAGACATTGCATCCTAAAGCCCACATGGGACTCAAGCGGGTAACATTAGGTAAGAGTCAGGGAAGACAACAGGGAATAGTGCCACTGGGGCTGAGGATGTGAGATTAGCTGCCCCACCAATGCTATTCAAGAAATAACCCATGTCGGGCCACTGGAATATGACCCTCAGGCCAGACATTAGCAAGTCCTAGATTCTAAACACTGAGATGCTTTATCAAAGAGGTCACGGTCTTCTCAGCTACAAGTTTGTTTGTCTTCCCAAAATGTTATATATATATAACATATATAATATATATATATTTGCTGATTACTAAATCAACATTTATTTATGACCTGGTGTTTTGAATCTGAAGAAAAACAATAGAGATTGCTCAATAGCCAATCTCCCAGAGGTGTAATGGTATATAATCTTACAGTCTCTTTCTGCTTTTGCAAAATAATGAGCTAAGATGTTGTGGCTTGCTAATTTGTGTTTTTCATCACTATTTCCTTTGAAGGTGGTAAAGGAAGGGGAGTTGTTTCTCTGGTCTGGGCATGGGAGGCTCAACGGCAACGGGCTAGCAGAGATGACTCCTCTGTACTAGGGACCCGGGATGGAGGGATGAAGGTTTTACTCACATGTTAGTGGAGAGGTGTTGCTGGGAGCCGGGCAGACTGACCGTGGCCATGGAATGTCCTGGGGAGGCAGGTGCAGGATGATAAGTGCTGACCTACACAGTCAGAAGGACAGAGAAGCAGAACCAGTGAATGCCACAAGTCAGGCCTGCAGCAAATAAGGCTTGACACAGCTGAAGACCAAGAGCCATGCCCAGCACCACCCACCATGTGTCTTCTCTGTGGATTGTGGCTTTGGGTAGAATGGGGTGGAACAGACTAGTTGATGGCCTGCCTGGGTGGCATGCCAGGGCCACATTCCACAAGACTGTGCAGATACTGTCCAGTTTACAGCCACTGCTGCTACTCCTCCTGCTCCCTGCCCCGCCTCACCCCACCCCACCCTCTCCCACAGAGCTCCCTACCTTCTATGAAAACCTGCTTTTGGAAAGTGATACCATGGCTAAGATGGATTCAGAACTTAGCACGTGCCAGGCAGTTTTAAAGTGCTTTACAAGTATCCTTATTATTCCTTGTTTTTTGGATGAGAAACTGAGACACACAGAAAAAGAAAGGTCACAAAAGTAGTAGAAAAGAAAATTTAAAATCAATTCACCTAGGTTCTGAGCCCACACACTCATTGACTACTCATGGTGTTAACACACACACCCACACCCACACACATGCGCACACACACACACACACACAAATCCCTTTCTCCAGGGTAAAAAGGAACAACAATGACAAAAGCCTCTAAAAACTGCCTGCTATCCCAGGAGTTGCCTATTAGCGAACACACCACCTTGCTTATCTCTCTCCTGCCACATCTCACATACTGGTTTATTTTCTGGCTTTTTACTGATTCTCCCACTAGACTTTTAAGTTCCACAAGGATAGAAACTGTGTCAGTCTTATTCATCCTTCTTTTTCTTGTGCGTTCAATATGTACTTGTAGCTTAAAGAATGAATAACTGAACAAAAAAATCTTTCTACCTTGTACAAGAAACACTGACAAAGCCTTAACCATCTATCTCCCTCCATGCCATCCAAGGTAAACACAGCGGATCTGTTTTCAGTTGTCTGTCCATAAATGATGGTTACTAAACATATGTGCCTTTCTAGGACTGTTTTTGGGTACAATTATTATTTGTGTAGTTGTGTTTGTGCAGGTATGCACGTGTTACTAAGTGCATGTGTTTCTGGTTCTGTTTGCTCAGAACCCACAGCAATTGTAGGTACATGTGTCTATTGTATATATGGGTATATTCAACCATATGGGTTGAAATACATGCCTCCTGCATGAGTTTGCATATATATATATATATATATGCAGGTATATATGTGAGGGCAAATATCTACAATATTCTGTATGTTATGCATGTAAAGTCTAGAGGATTGTGTAGGTAAGCACAACTATATAGTTTTGTGGTGTATTTATGTCAATGATTGTGTAAATGTATGTGCAACATTTTGAGAATCTAGCTATAGGATCAGGAAAATCATTCTTGTAAAATAATAGCAAATGTTGACAAGGAGGTAGAAAAGTTGAAACCCTCATACATTGCTGGTGGGGATGCAAAAGGGTGCAATCCCTTTAGAAAACTGTCTGGCAGTTCCTCAAATAATAAGACCCAGTAAGATCACTCCTAGTATATAAATACCCAAGAGAAGTACCTAGTATATGCCCAAGAGAAATAACAATACATGACCATGTAAAAACGTGTATACAAATGTTTACAGAAGAGTTATTTATAATAATCAAAAGATGGGATCAACCCAAATGTCCACCGACTGATGAATGGATAAACAAAGTATGATATATCCATCCAATGGAATACTATCCAACCATACAAAGAGTTAAGTACTGACATGTATAAGATCATGGGTGAACCTTGAAATCATTGTACTAAATGAAAGCCAGACACAAAAGACCACATATTTTATGATTCCATTTATATGAAAATGTTGGGAATAGACAAATCTCTAGAGATAGAAAGCCAACTCATGGTTTCCAGAGTTAAGGAGATAAAGGGGACATGGGAGTGATAGCTAAAGAGTTTGGTGACAGCTTGAATATAGAGTTTCTTTCTGTACTAATAAATGTTCTAAAATTGTTAGAAATAATGATTGCACATGTCTGTAAATATATTAAAAACCACTGAATTTTAAACCATAAGTGGGAAAATTGTATGGTAAGTGATTTACATCTCAATAAAAATTTTTAAAATAAAGAAACCATTCCCTAATTTCCCATCCGAGTTACTCTAACACTGAATAAGGTGTTCTGAGCTTTGCAATTAAACATTGTCAAACTAGTTTCTTCAAATAGATATAAAGGAGCTGGCTTTGGGCTAGGCTGCTCCTTCGGTATAATAGGGCAAGGAGGTCCTGCTGGGCTTGAGAGCTATGTCAAGGGAGAGCCTTATTATGCAAACAACCACCCTTTCTCTTTTTTTTTTAACTGTTTTTATTTTCCTATTACATACTTCATGTAATTTATATTACATTTCTATATTTGAAATAAATTTGTACAGTTTTAAGTTCTAATTTAAACATTTTACACCTTACGCTTAACATTTTGGCACAGAGTTGCAAGTTTTAAAAAAAGTATTTATTTTTATTGGTTCAATTAAAAAAAAACTATAAGCAAATAACTACTCCTATGTTTGTGGAGGCTACTGGACCACTAAAGTAGCAGGAAGAACCTCACTTAATACTCTTCACTTTCCAATGTTATGTTTGAATGAAAACACTTCTATCTTAAGCACTATTAATCTTCTAGGGAAGAGGAGGGTACTAAATGCAAAGCCATCTCTCCAGTATATCAGGCTCTGTATTTTTACCTCTTTAGAATTTCATCTTCCCTTATTTGGAAAATTGACTGTAACCAGGCTGGAAATCTGTGGGCTTGTGATGGAATCATTTCTAATATGGAATGGTAAAGGAGTCCAGACTCTCAGGTTTGAGGTGTCCTAGAGGTAAAAAGAGAGGAGAACCTATAAAGAAGGAGGAAGACACCACAGGAGGAGGGAGATGGAGATAGAGGAAGCTCCTAAGAATGGGCAGAGTCCAGTTAGGACAGACACAATGGGATAACATATAGACCCAAAGGAACAAAGGAAGGAAGGAGGGTAGAAAGAGGGAGATAAAAACATATTGGACAAATTCTTAAATACATTCATAAGAAAAAAAACAATCCAATAAGAACTGGGCAAAGAATGCAAAAGAATGGCCAATGAACACATGAAAAGATGCTTAACATTCATCATTATCAGGGAAATGCAAATTAAACCCACCCTAAGATACTACTACATACCTCCAAGAATGGCTAGAATTAAAACAACCAACCATACCAAGTGTTGATCAGAATGTGGAGCAATTAGAATTCTTGTGCACACCTGGTGGGAATGGAGAACGGTCCACCAGGTTGGAAAACATGCTGGCCATTTCATACAAAAGTTAACACTGACCACACTACCCAACAATCTCAGAAGCATGTACCCCGCACCCCCCCAACTGAAAACATAATGTCCACCCAAGGACTTATATATTGATGTTCTTAGCAACTTTATTCATTTCAGCCCCAAACTGGAAACAACCCCCATGCCAATCAACTGGTGAATAAAAAACAAACAAAACCCCATATTGTGGTTTAAGCACAGTGAGACACGCCTCAGCAACATATGCAACGTGGATGAAACTCAACATCATCCTAAGTAAGACACAGGACACAAAATCCGACAAACTACATGATACCATTTATCTGAAATTCTAAGAAAGGAAAAATCCAGAACCATGTTGACAGAAAACAGATTAAAGTTTGCCAGGAGCTAGGGTAAGGAGAGCGGATTGGTTAAAAAATCAGCACCAGGGCTGGGGGGGTAGTGGCTCAGCAGTAGGAGCGTTTGCCTTGTACATGTGAGGCCCTGGGTTCGATCCTCAGCACCACATAAAAATAAATAAATAAAATGAAGATATTGTGTCCAAATACAGCTAAAAAATAAATAAATGAATATATATACATATAAAAGAAATTATTTAAAAAAATGGCACCAGAGAACTCCTGAGGAGATGCAAAGGTTCAATTTTTTTGGTCCTAGAGACTGAACTCAGGGCACTTAACCACTGATCCAAATCCCAGTCCTTTTTTTAGTTTTTATTTTGAGACAGGGTCTCAACTAAGTTGCTTAGGGCCTCACTAAGTTGCTGAGGCTGGCTTTGAACTTGAGATCCTCCTGCCTCAGTCCTCTTGAGCCACTAGGATTATAGGCATGTGCCACCATGCCTGGTGCAAATGCTCTATATCGTGATTGCAGTTGTGGGCTGTAATGCAATGTCCAAAGCCATTGAATTGTTTATTTAAAATGAAGGTATTGTGTCCAAATAAAATGGTTGAATTTATTATACCTGATCATATCTTAATAGAGCTGTTACAACAGCTGATAAATACTGTGCATTACCGTGTTGTCAGGAAACATCCGAGGGGCTGTAGCTCGACTCAGCTCAAGCTCTAGAATTGGTCAGGGAAGGGGCTGCGAACATCTCAGCTTAAGTGGGCAGAGGGCACCTGAATAGGAGAGAAACTGGGAGTGGGCACCTATGGCTCAGAACTCAGTCAATAAGGTAAAATCAGTTAGTGAATGACTGAGGAGATAGAGAAAGACAGCAACACAAACGTAGATGGAGAAACTGGGTGGGAAGGGGGACAGACGAAACAGGACAGAAAGGAAGGCCCCACTGGGTAGATGAAGACTCTCTGCAGATGGCTCACTTCTGAGGATGCAAGTCTGTTCCTGTCGTTGGGATGGAAGACAGGAAGCTCAGCCTCCCTGAGGGATCAGGCCTATGGGTGGTTCCTTTCCCTGGAGTCAATTGTGACCCCTGGTGTCCGGGCCACACAGGTTTGTAAGGATGCATACGAGATCCTGGAGCAACTGATGCTTCCTGGCAAAAGGTTTGCACCCTGAGAAAGATCAGGGAGCAGGTTTGGGTATAAGGGTTGGGTGGGGAGGGGTGGGCATTTCTGCTAAAATCTGAACACATTTTTTTCCCTCCCTTGTGAAGGAAATGACTCATTTAAAATAAATCTTTATCAGTCAGAGAAGAACCGCAGCTG